CCCATGTGAAAAAAATAGCAGACAAGCAGCATTTCATCACAAGGAACAGGCTCTTTATGTCTGAAATTACCAAAGTGCTTATTTTCTATGGTAATGTTTTTCTAGAATTTGATTTTTGGTAAAAAAATTTACCATTTTTTGTTTCCTAGAGAACATGAACAGTATCTGACATCACATAAGCCTGCTTGTTCAGTAGTTTTCCTGAGCACATATTAAAGTGCTTTCTTTTAATAAGGCCTTATCTTGAAAAGACTTATACTTTTTACACTTCACTGTAATTAGTAACAAAATTCATTTCACTTCAGTGAAATTTTGTTAAATTAAGTTCATAGAAAAATCTTCATAGGCTTTGCTTAATAGAAATTTTTCCTTTTTTGTGGATTTTTCCAACAGAATTCAGTGGGGACATGAAATTAGTGATTTAAATGCTGACAAAAAAATTCAATAGAAATTATCCACCACACCAACAGAATTTATGAGAGTTTTGTAACTCTTCCTTCTACTCTTCTATCTATTCCATTTGAATATTCTTAATAGATACGAAGCTGTATTCCCATTCCAATTGCATGTATCAGATATTACAAGGTTTCCCCAAAGAGGATGTTTCCCTACATGTATATTCATCAAAGAAGAGACTGAACCACTTTCATTGCTCTTGCTGTAAGAGCCTCTGTATGAGCCATGACAGTCTCCCTATAACAACGTTGCCTGTGGGAGTTGTCTCCTTGGCCTGCAGCGATGGCCACTGGATTTCAGGAGGCATGGTCAGACCTCCATTTTTCTAGACTCACAAACACTGGAGGTCTGCTCAAGTCCTAGGCTACAGAGTTGCTAAGGCTGGTGCTGCTGGGAGGGAGAATCACAGCACCTTTGGCCATGGCTCTGGGGTTCTCTCACTGGGGCTATTGCTGGAGTATAGGAACAGGCAGTAAGGCAAAGTGTGAGGAGGTGCTGAGCAGGCCATGACTGCAGAGATTTGCAGACTCCCTTTACCATCTGTTCCCTTCCTCCCTGTCCACCACAGTCCTTACTACCAGCATCTGATCTCTCAACACCTCAGTCTCCAGTGCTGGAGCTTTGAATGGTGATGCCAAAACACCACTTCTTGGCCTCCAAACATTCCGTCACCCTCCCTGCGCACAGCCAGACTCTTCAGTTGTGTAGGTAACAGCCTCTGCTATTTTAATTCAACTAAATGACTTCACTGCAGGCACCCAGGATCCTAATGCTCCTCTGTCAAGTATTCCTCAGTCTTGGTACACAACAGCAATCTGTATCATGGACTGTTTCTCCTCACACATGGAAGAAAACTGACATATACACAAAAAGAAAGATGTTCCTTTCTCTTTTCTCCCTTATGTTTGCCTGGAGCTGTGTGCTCTCAGAGGATTTCAGACAAGGAAAGTTGCTTTCCTTCTGTGTGGGTTTCTTATGCCTGCCCATGCTGGCGTGCACTGTGTTAGTTTCATCTCTTTGAAGGGCTCTTTGGCACAGAAATTCTGTAACAACAGTGTTACAATTGGTAACACTAACTTGAAGTTTGCACCTTTCAAACCTGAAGCTTGCACCAAAGAAGCTGCAAGAATATAGACTATATTTTCTTATTTTAAAATAATAGAGAGGAGTTTCTCCTCACACACAGTACAGGGTGGGGAAAAGAAGGAGGGTGTTTAAGTGCCAGGTGACAATGTCCATCACACTGCTCAGTGATGAAGCTACAAAGACAAAAATAGACAAAGTGACCTCATGGCTTTCAGCAGCAATGCCTATGAGACAAAAGAGAGGCTTTAAAAGGCTTGTGGAACTGATAGGAAAGGGCTTGGACATCTCAGAGTTTTGGTTCTACTCCAGCAGGGAACTGCTTTGCTCCTCTCTCATTGCCTCTCTCTCTGTTTATGGGGAGTTGTGAACTAAACGGGCTTTGTGACATGCCCAGCTCTCCAGGTTTGGACTCTGCCTTCTCAAGCTTGGATCAGCCTTATGCAGGTACAAATGTACTTTTCTGATTTCTCTTTTCTTTTCTTTTCTTTTCTTTTCTTTTCTTTTCTTTTCTTTTCTTTTCTTTTCTTTTCTTTTCTTTTCTTTTCTTTTCTTTTCTTTTCTTTTCTTTTCTCTTCTCTTCTCTTCTCTTCTCTTCTCTTCTCTTCTCTTCTCTTCTCTTCTCTTCTCTTCTCTTCTCTTCTCTTCTTTCTCTTCTCTTCTCTTCTCTTCTCTTCTCTTCTCTTCTCTTCTCTTCTCTTCTCTTCTCTTCTCTTCTCTTCTCTTCTCTTCTCTTCTCTCTCTTTTCTTTTTCTTTTTTCTTCTCTCTTCCTTCTTTCCTTTCCTTTCCTTTTTACTCTACTCTCCTTCCCCTATTCTTTTGCCTATTCTGATTTCACTCTTGCTTTTTACCTTCAGCAAGTCATCTCAGGAAGGTTTCTCTTTCTCTTTTCTCTTAAACTGCTGTGGAAGATTGTAATTTGAATAGCATGATCATTTTTCTGTTAGGAGGATTGGTATAAGTAGTTATGTGCTTTAGCCTTTGATGATGAAGAAAGTATGAAAAAGAGAAGACCGAGGTGAGCAGCAGGTCCCGGAGGGCCTTACTTGCCAGCTGCTTCAGAGCACAGGGCGGTTCAGAACAACTTTCCAGGGAAGTTGTACATGGTTGCTAATGCTAAGCCAGGATCAAGAGCTGGTGGAGTTATAGCCAAGACTGTCTGTTTTATATTTTGTCTGACAGTATTTGCTAGCCCAGACTCGAGAGCTGGTGCTTTCATAGTACTCTGCTGTCAGAAGGGGCTGCGCAGACCCTCCCTTTGGATGCTGTAGCTCCCTTGCTGTTAGTTCCTGATGCCAGAAATCCACCAGCGAGTCATCCAGGGGCCAGAGTTTCCATATTCTGCACTTGACTAAGATTCCGTAGTGCTGCTCTTTCTCCCTGTAAATTTACAAACTAAATACCACAAGGTGAGGTTTCATAGCTTGTAGCAAGGATGCTTGTAGCAACCTCCCTTATCTCCTCCATTGTGAACAACCCCCAGAGACACACGCATGCCGATTTGTAAGTGGAGTGGACAGTCCTTCAGGGACTGCAGCTTGTTTCCATCATGGAGAGCAGGTCTTTGAGAGCAAGTCTATGACTGCCCTGAAGAGCACTAAAACACAAAAACCTGGACACTACTTCAATCTTGGTTCAGCAGGGTGGAGTCACTCTGTCAGGAAGGGTTCGCAGAGAGCCTTCACTTTGCAAATGCAAGTACAAATAGTGAGCCATTTTTTCAGCATTGATTTTGCTGTTTCCAGTTTTCTGGGTGCAAAGGAGAGGAATGGACTGTGCATCCAAATGAGGTGATCTCAAACTACAGAAGTCCTCTTGCTGAAATCCCAAAGCAGCAGCATGTGCTATGGAATGTCTGCAAATTTTGAGTGCTTCCTGGAAGCATGATTGCTCTGCGAATCAACACCTTATTTTCAGCATGGGGTGGGAGAGGGAAGCTCTTGCTGCTGTGCTTACTGATGCAGTGTGGAATGATGACACTTGCCACAGTCGTGCAGCCTAGCCAGGTTTTGGGAGACATTTGCAGCCCTCAGGAAAACTAGTAAACTTCTTAGCTAAGCTCCCTGTCCCCCACTGCAGGTGACTTTGCCACATTAGCAAGTTCCCATTGAATGAACCCTTTGTGATAAAACGGTCAGAAGTGAGATCCTGAGAGGACTGAGCAGCTTCCATCATCTCTTGAGCTAACACCATCCCCCAGCACTGCCTGCAGCTCTCCTCTCCCCTTCCACCCTCTCCCTCTTCTGCAGGGCATAATATTTTACCTCTTTCTTGAGAATGTAGGGCCGGACAAAGTGTTAACACATTTTTTTGACAAATTATTAGACAGTGGATGGTTGTTTCATCTGCACTTTTGTGCTGGGAAAAAGACAACAGGAGTAAGGAAAAGGATGAATTCAAAGAAAACTGAAATTAGTCTATGGTTTAGGTATGTGGGGCTTTTTTCTGTGCAAGGTTAGTGTTGATTTCTGTCACTTCAACACTGACTCAAGACAAGTCCATACTTTCCTTAGGGCAGCTGAGTTTGGTTTTACTACTGAATCTTGTTCACTGCCTGTTTTCCCTGCACACAAAGACAGAGAACCCAACATTCCTCCTTGGGGCTTTACTGACCGCTGGGCTGGCAGAGCAGGTGGAAAATTATTATCCCATACTTTTATGCCAGTGTCCAAAGCGGTGTTGTCTAAGCAAGCCTGTCTAAGTGGATTCCTTCTGGCCTGGCTGATCAGTTGTGTGGGTCTAGGATTCTTGGTCAGGAGCAAATACTTGTCTTCCTTGCTGGGCATGGGGCACAGGGAAGGGACTCCAGCAAGGGTCCCTTGCATGCCTCCAAAGCATGCCTCCTTTGCCTCTTGTGGTGGCAGGGCTGCTACAGAGCAGCGAATAGCCCCTAAACACAAGGCTGCTGCACAACACTGACTGTGCCTGGCATTGCAGGGCTCAGATCAGGAGAAGCCTGGCTGTGCCTGCAGAGCACGTCTCCTGTTGCACACATGCATGGTGCTAACAGTAGCAGCGGCTGCTTCCTGAACTCTCAGGGCCAGAGATATTACTTGTTCCTGGGAGTCCTCTATATGGTAAGAGGGAGGTCTACAGAAAGCAGGGCTCCACCTTCAGGGTTATAAGTAAATGGTAAAAATTCCCAGGCACTGTAAAAATGCCTGGGACTCTTAGCCACCTCCTTCAGAAATAGGAAATCCCAGGGGATTTCCTCCCTCTGGGAGAAGTTCCCTGCCCACAGCTGCATTTACTTGTATTGTGTTTGCAGGGAAAGAGAAAACTGCTCCTGGGTTTCTATTGACAGTTCCTAAAGGCCCTATCATCAGCAAAAGTAGGAAAGAAAAAGAAGGGCAAGGGGTTTCCTCCCATGGGCACTAGAACACCTACTGCCATATCACTGTCCACCTTTGCCCACCCAGCCTTTTGCTGAGCTGAGATTGCCTCTTTCTCTCTCTTTCAGAGCTCCACCGCCACGAGAGCATCCAGGAGAAGAACGTGAAAGAAGCCAAAACCAAGTGCAGAACCATTGCATCCCTGCTGACAGATGCACCCAACCCCCACTCCAAGGGGGTGCTGATGTTTAAGAAGCGCAGGCAGAGGGCTAAGAAGTATACATTGGTAAGCTTTGGGAGTGTCGACGAAGACCGCTCCTACGAGGAGGAAGACGGAGTTTTTCCAACTAGTGAGTCTGAATTTGATGAGGAAGGTTTCTCTGATGCCCGAAGCCTAACTAACCACTCAGACTGGGACAACACTTACCTAGACATCGAGAAGTCCAAGTCTGACACTGAACAGAAGGAAGAGAAGCAAAAAGGTTTGAGCGAAGCCTCAGGTAAAGGAGCACGATTGTTTGAGCAGCAGAGGGAACGGGCTGGGAAGTACACAGTTGAGAAAGCTCCAGTGCAGAAGAGCCCCCAGCTTGACCCAGCTGCCCAGCCAAAGCAGGGCACAGTGAACGGAGATATGCCTGTGCCAGAGGAGAAGGCAGACAGCATGCCCCTCAGCATCCACCTGGAAAGTGTGCAAGTGCCCAGCAAGCAGCCAGCCACCCTCCCTACTGAGATTCAGGCTGCTCCTAGCCCCACTTTCTTCCCACCTCCCCCAAGCACCCCCGACCCTTTCTCTGCAAGCTCGACAAGCATGTTCAACAGGTCTGCACGGCCCTTTACTCCTGGCTTTTCTGACCAACGCCCAGCAACATCCTCTGTCATCTTTAGGCCATCTGCACCCAAAAAACCCAGTGAAAATCTGAGTGGGCAAAGCACAGTGGTTTCCCCTTTCTCATTTCCGGCTCCTGCCAACGCACCAGTGCCAACACACCGTGGTGCAGTCAGCTCCTCCACATCTCTGTATATCCCTGCACCAGGAAGGCCAACATCACCACTGGAGTCACAGCCAAAAGGAGGAAGTTCTCCAGAAACTAAGCCTTCTGCCAACACTGCTCGGACATCCACCACTTCTATCTTTCTGTCAACTCCCTCAAAGCCAGGAGGGGATGTGGCCTCTGCAGCATCCCAGCCACAAGTCCATGGAACAGCCTCTTCTTCTTTGTATATTAGTCCAGCACCATCACAGCACATGAGAAGCAGTTCCCCTGTGCCAAAGCAGCCTTCTCCTGCCATCGCTCCAGCAATGCCACGGCCTCCTTCAGAGCCCTTAACCTCCAGGGAGCAGAGGATTGCTGTGCCAGCTCCCCGCACAGGCATCCTGCAGGAGGCTCGCCGGCGGGGCAACAAGAAACCCATGTTCAGTAAGATTGAGGAGAAGAAGAAGAATTCACCCAATCCTGAGCTCCTGTCTCTGGTGCAGAACCTGGATGAGAAGCCGAAAGGTGACCACCCTGGGGCAGGCTTCGAGTCTGGGCCTGAGGAAGACTTCCTCAGCCTGGGTGCTGAGGCCTGCAACTTCATGCAGTCCTCGGGCCGTAAGTTCAAGACCCCACCTCCAGTGGCTCCTAAGCCAGATACTGGACTGGTAAATGGGGCCCAGGACATGCCTCAGCTTAAAGGCAAGGGGGCAGAGCTTTTTGCCAAACGCCAGAGCCGCATGGACAAGTATGTGGTGGAGACAACACCGAAGCCGGACCCCAAGCCCAGGACCCCCTCTCCTTCCCCTTCTCTCCCCTCATCCTGGAAATATTCACCCAACATCCGGGCTCCCCCTCCAATAGCTTACAACCCAATGCATTCCCCTTTCTATCCCCTGGCAGCCAGCAAATCTCAGGCTAGCAAAGCAGAGAGCAAAGTGAAAAAGGCACCTGGCCAGAAATCAGGGATCAAGGTCATTGATATAATGCGCCACCAGCCCTATCAATTAAAGTCAGCCATGTTCTGTTTTGGGGATCCCCCAAGCCCCAGCACTCAGAATTCTGGTCAGCCAGCCCCGCAGGCTAGCTCATCCTTCATGGCAGCCAAGCAGGTGCCCGTGAAAACAGCCAAGACCCAGGAGATTCGTCGCTTCTCCACTCCGGCTCCCATGCCAGCCTCTAGCAGCCTGGCACCTACCGTGCTTATGCCCCGCTCAGCAACCACGCTGGATGAGCCATTGTGGAGAACAGAAATGGCCTCTTCTGCCCCTGCTACACCGGCACCCTTTAAAATGGAGCTCAGCCAGTCCCCAAAACCATATCAGAGCTCCCCAGAGCCTGGTCAGGTGGGCCAGGGGCCTTCTCCAAATCCAGCCTCTGCCTCTCGGTTTCAGGTGGCCAGGCCCAAATTCTCAGCAGCAAGAACAGGGATGCAGGCCAATGTGTGGAGGCCAAGTTTTGGCCACCACTGAGGCAGGTACTCCTCCCATCCCGTTTGTGGCCCCGCAGAGATAGTGCTTGTTTTGTCTTTCATGTCAGCTCAGTACATTGGGGTGAGTGACACAAAATGAAGAAAAAAACCCAAACCAAATTACTCCCCTTCTGCACCACCCTCTCCCCCAGCCTCCCTTTGGTCTCAGGTGGGAAACTTCACAGAAAGGCTTACTGGCTGTGGCTATAATAGGAGGAAGAATGTGGAGAAAGGGTACATGTGTGGTATACAGAGACTGGGAACTTGTACACAGCAGCAAAACTCACCTCTGGAGGGGGTAATGGCAGGAGTTGTATCACACGAGGACACACAGGAGGCAGTCATTTTCCTTTCCCAAGGGCTTTGGAGTCACCCCTGAATGGAGGGAAACTGGGGGGCAACAGCTTTCCCAGAAGAAAGGGTGAGAGGTGGGATTACAGAACAGAAGTCCTTTCCCGTTAGACTGCTCCTCTCTGAGCCTGTCAGTCTGTACACATGCACCTGTGTGCACACACACATGTACACAGCAACGCTCAGCAGGAAGTGAAAGTAAAAGTGGGGCTTCACCTTAGGCACCTCTCCCAGACTTCCCTCTGGAAGGGCATGGGAAAGAAGGCAAGAGAGCAGAGTGAGCGGTGGTGTTTGCCCATGCACATGTGGCCAGTGTGCCCTGTGCAGGAGAGTGGCCGTGTGTGCCCCATTCCTCCAGTCAGCAGGGCTGGGGGTAAAAGGGAGAGTCATTCCAGCTGATACAAAACATGACTTAGGTCTGGAAGCAGTTTGCCAAAGAGGGCCTTTGAGTGGACTTGGTGGGGCTATCACCAGCTGTGGAAACTGCAAAAGCAAGTATCAATTTCTGAGGATACACAAAATCAAAGCTAAGCTCAGGCAGTGGCTGGTTGGCACAAAGAAAGGCTCTGCAGCATTAGTCCCACTGGAACAGGATATGGATGCTGTAAGTACAAAGGTGGATTGCATGGGAGAAGGTACAGTTGACTTTAAAAGGAGGCAGGATCGAAAATGCATTTGCATATGATCTTTTTGTTTATTTAGGATGGAAGTGTGGCTAGATTAGAAATGGGTCATGACATAATACTTGCTGAAAACTTTGTGATGAGCTGGAAAACAGAGGCCCTTTACAGACATTCTCAGTATGGAAGTGGAGGTCAGGAAAACAGAAAGTCACAAGTAAAATTTCATACTAAATGATTTAGGTATCCTTGGGGTCTATTGGGTAAAAACTGAAGTGCTCTGAGAATCCCGGAAGATCTGCACTCACATACACATACAGAGCTCAGTTTGATGGCGATACTGGGGAAAGAGTAATGGTTATTCCCTGAATGTCCCAGGCTAGCCTCGGACTTAATCTCTACGCTAAAGGCATACAAGAAGAAAGCATTCCATTTCCCAAGGAAGAATTCAGCATATTAATAGGGACTGTGCATGTGTATGTGCATGTCATCCGTACTCTGGTTTACACACACCCCTGCCATTTACTTTCTGCCTGTGTTCCTCCTTTTCCACCAACCACTTTTACAGTGCAATCCCACAAGTACACCAAGAAAGCATTGCTCCTGAAGCACTGGGTCCAAACACAGCAGATGCCCCAGCTGCAGGGAAGGGGCTTGCCACCTCTTCTTGGGTCAGGGTTGCCCAGCCTTTTGCTAAACCCTTAGGAATATGTATGGGAGGCAGAATGAGTCTCATAGGCCCACTTGAGACAAGTGTCCATCTTGTCCACAAAACTCACTCCTCTCCTTCAAGTAGTAGCTGTTCTCTGACTGGACTGTGCACAAACTTTGGCTATACAAAACTGTCGGTTCTGGGGAGAAAAAAAGGAGTGCAAGTGGGGCTGATGCAGTCTATAAGCAGTGCAGCTACTATGGTTTCACACTAAGTCTGAGCCAACCTTCCTCTGCACGGCAGGAGCTTATGATGTGTAGCTCTTTTCATGAAAGCTGAGTCTATACTTTTCCTTGGAGGCTCTAAAGTCCTTTTAGAGCCTCCAAGCTCAAGGTGTGAGCACCTTGAGATTTTTCACATGTGCTCTCCCATGAAGAAAAAGAAGGGTGGAGAACCTAGCTAGCAGCTCTAATCCTGGACAAGCTTGGGAGGGAGAGAATGAGAGAAAAGGAGAAGTAATACACAATCCTGCCTTTGAATCCTTCACTCTGGCCGGACTTGTTCTGCAGGCCTGTGTTTGCAGTGCACATTCCTGGGGGCCCTGAAACATAGGATGAGCATGCTGGGGAGAGAGGAGGACAGCACTTACACTTGGCACACTATCAGCCATGGAAGAGGATCATCAGAAAACCTTTAAGAACACCTTGAGTTAATGGACAAAGGTGTGGCTGAGTCAGAATAGGTGCTGTGCCTGATTGTATGACACAGGAGCAGCCAAGCTGAATTGTTGAGAGGATTGTTTGTGTCCCTGGAAAGCTCCAGAGAGGATGTCTCAGGAGAAATCCTCACCACAGAGTTAATTCAGATCACCAGAATCCACTTAGCTCCAGTGAAGGAGAGCAGCCATGCTACAAAACTTATCTTGGATATTGCTTTCTCACTCATCCTGTACTGCATTGCATTGCCAGCATTTCTGGAAAAAACATCCTGAGTGCTAAAGTAAACTGAATATCTGTGTTTCTTCCCAAACATGGAAGGAGGAGTCTTCTATTTTATCTAGGAAAGATGTGGGAAGGAACTCAAGGACTAGCAGTGCTCCAAAAGCTTTGTCTCATCTCCCTGTGGAGTGTTGTCTGTCACTGGCTAGTGGTTTAAGCCACCAGCCTTAGACAGACAAGCCAGCCCAGGCTGAAAGCATTACTGAACTCAGGTGTAGAGAGGGGTTGGGTGGACCAGAGAAAGGGTGCTCAAGATAATTCTGCAGTGAAGAAATAATCTCAGAAAGTCTGAATCTTACTCCAGTGTCCCTTTCCCTGAGGCCCCTAAAGTTAACTGCTCTCAGGGCCTGAGTGTCTCAGGAAATTCATTTTGCCACTGGAAAAATAGAGATGTCTGGCCTTAGTATGTAAGGGAGAATGCATGTGGTTAGTATTTCAGTGATCCCACTCCAGCTTTCCGGGAGACAATGATACCTGCCAAGGCGTGATGGCCAAACGCTGCTCAGTGTTAGATGTCATGACCCAAGTGAGTGGAATAACTGCACTTACCCCATCATTTCTGATAATGTAATGGGCAGGAGATGAAAAAAAAGGTAGGTTTGATTGGAGAATGAATATTAAACATAAGAGGAAGAGAAAGAACCAGAAGGCTGGGAATCCTGCATTTTACTTACATCCTTGGTTCAAAGCTATGTTTAGAAGCAAATCCAAAGTAGTGTAATGGATCTCAGCCCTTCACAAACTTTTCTGGATCCTATGCTGACACAGATCTGCAGAAGCAGAGGGTGTTGCAGATGAGGCCTACACTGCTTGTGGTGTATTCCAAAGAAGGCCTGTAGCTGCAAGTAGGATGAGATGAGAAATAATACTGAGATGCATCTGTTAAGTTGTAAGGAAGAAACCTGAACTAGTGCTGGCTTTAAGCAGCTCTGCTAGTGTCTGCTCTTGAAAATATTGTGGCTAGCCTGTTAGAAAGGTCACAGGTGATATTACAAGGAATACTTTTGAAGCATATAAGCTTGTTTTGAGCCTCTCCAAATGTCTAATTCCTCAGCTGTTGAACAAGCACAGACAAACCCAGTTGTTTAACAAGTTTTATGTCCCACCTGCTAAGTTATAAGCTGCAGTGGTAGGCCAAACCTCAATGTCCCCTTTGAAGATGTCTGCATGGGCTCTGATTTAAAACTGCCTATCATCCCTCCTCTCTATCATGCTGCAGGTTACACATTGCAGCTATGGCAGTTCTGGGGTTTTATCTTTGCTTCAGAAGTAACAGTCCTTTCCCTCTGAATTTATGGGAACACTTACCAGAGATAACCTCAAGATCCTGCAGCAGCTGAGAGGAAGAATCTCAGAAGAGACTGTGTGTGATGAGGAGTCATGGATCACCAGACACGAGCACAGTGCACGGCAAGATTGTCCTTTGTAAAGAATATGCTCCCTTTCTGCTATAATATCCAGTACCCCCTATCAGACCCATCTAGATCCTAGAAGAGACATGTCAGTACTCTGAAAATGGGAGCCCTGCATTAGTGCTCTGTCTGGTGCAAGATGTGACCTCAGAAGACCAGAGCTGGCATCTTTGTTTATGGAAATCCTGGTTTTCCTTTTCTGTTTTGTCCTTTTTTTTTTTCCAATCTAAAATCACTTTCTATTTGTTTGTGCAGAAAAATAAACTTGTGATATGCACTTTACAGGTGGTATTTTTTCACTTTCTTTGCTAGGCACCCAGGAGGAATTGCCATGCGTACAGCACATGTAGTTAGCACTATCATCGAACTCCTAAGGCCAAGAGATTATAAAGAGTCCGAAAAAGGATGGGATATCTCAGGGATAAAAACACTTAAATTGGACTTAAAGCCCCTATACATTAAAAAAGCCCCATGCAAGCAAAAACTTAAGTGAGATCCAAAACTTTGGTACTACAGTCTATAAAATGCTCACTGACAGGGTGAAGAAATTCATGGCCCAGCCCGAGCTGGCTGCCCCATCACTGCCCCTCAGCCTGCTCTAACCTACCCTCTGCTTGTAAATCTGATATCAGTGGAAGTTTGTCAGCTCTATTAAATCCAATTATAAACTTACATTGAACGATTCAACTTAATATTAACCAAAAGATCAGAAAAACAAAATCAGCCAGAAAATCAAATATATCCCATTGTATCCTCAGGCTCCAAGTCTAATCCTAGTGCTAACCTTAACTCAGTTCATGTTAATGTCTACTCAGTTTCTGGTTCCCGAGAGGTTTATTGTGTTCAGTTTAGGACAAGTGGTAGGAGGTCACCTTTTCCAGATGCATCTCACTCACAGACAGCAATTCCTGAGCACTGCAGAAGATGCAGAAGATGCTGGAATCTAATCTAGGATTAGACTGCAGGCTCTGGACATTTGTCCAGGTACAATTTTGAGGATGTTTTTCAGATTAATTGCAAGGAGATGTTCCTTATGTAGTGGTCTGGAGGTGAATCTTCGAATTATCCAGCATATTTCTGATTGACTTGCTGACAGGAAATTCAGGAAGGGGCAGCAATGTTTGCTGATGTCAGACTTGAGCTTCTGTCCAACCAGAAGAACAGCTCACAAA